ATGATTGTGTGATTGTAAACACTATACCCATGCTAGTGGGTAAACTTCCGAGGGGTGCATCTCAGGATTCCTTCCTGTATGGTGGTGACTTGCTGATCTGTAACTGGAACACTGTTAACCTAATTGGCTGACTCTTACTCCTTTGGGGGGGGTGGGGTAGCCTGGTGGGTAAAGCGTTCGCTCGTCATGCCGAAGGCCCGGGTTCGATTCCCTACATGGGTACAATGTGTGAGGCCATTTCTGGTGTCCCTCACTTGATATTTGCTGGATTATAGGTAATAGCGGCATAAAAACATGATTACTCACTCACTCACTTTTGAAAACCGGCAGTCGTACATTCTCCACTTCGTTGTATGATAATTGGTAATTTGGTTTGGTATGAATGAGTGATAGAAATCAAGAACTTTTGACCAACCTGCCCATATTGTTCTTTTGTTTATATGATTATAACCCACTTATGTATATTAAGCTCAACCCTATAGTATTTGCTATACTTAGCATTCATTATGTATTGAAGTCTACAGTTTATGATCAAGCGAGTGAGTGAGTGAGTGAGTGAGTGAGTGAGTGAGTGAGTTTAGCTTTATGCCGCTTACGGCTATATTCCAGTAATATCACAGCGGGGGACACCAGGAATGGGCTTCACACATTGTACCCATGTGGGGAATTAAACCTGGGTCTTCGGTGTGACAAGTGAACGCTTTAACCACTAGGCTACCCCCACCGCCCCTCAACAGTTTATATACACAGGCAGTTCATTTAGATAACTGGAATAGTAAATATAAAACACCTTTGTCTCACAATAAAAATTAATGTAAATACAATAATAAATTCATTGTGTCCTTTGGGGCAAGCAAGGAGGTGGTATGGGGTAACAAGAGCCTACCAGTTGTTAGAAACCTCAAGCTATGGCTGTAAATACTTTAAAGACTGTATCACTGCTGGATATGAAGTTAGCTGTGAAGCTATAGAATGTTGAGGCTAGAGAGTGAGTCTTCCACACCTTTCATCTTCAGTAATTTCCATCCTCGTCTTAAAATAGATTGTAATACATTGTGCCCATAGTGGATATGGCTGCTTTATGATACCAGTTGATTTGTCCATCTTCTAGGTAATCTGGATATTTGATATGATATAGAGGTCCGCTTTGAAAAGAAGCCAGTAGGTGGTGTGTTTGTGTATACCAACTTCCGTATCGGTCCCAACATAAACACCACCTTTTCATCATAGCTAGTTTATTTACTATAGAGGATCTGTCTGTCACCACTCTCAGCCTACTAAAACTACCTACCAGGCCAGGTGTTGCAGGACATATTCACAAGGGGGTTAACGGTATACCGAGGTATTAGTAGTATTTAGCCTTTGGTTCGGTATACTGTGATGCAATCCAAAAATTCTGTATTTTCAGTTTTCGTACAGTCGTTTTATTAACCTTTTTAAACCTTTTCTAAATTATCTAGAAATCGCATCATTTAGTCAAAATCTATGCATTTCTGTAAGGTTTGACTCTTTAAATTTTAGTTTATTATCATATCTCATGATTCCCCACATGGGCACAATGTGTTAAGCCCAAATGGACTGGAATATTGCTAAAAAGCGAAAACTAAACTCAGTCGGTCAGTCATGAACCGAAATGAACTGAACCGAACGCTTTGTACTGTAATATGTACCGTACTGTGGTAAGAGCTTACCGTTTCAAACCTACTAATTCACCCACAAAACTGTCATGTGCTAGTGGACATTGTGAGCAGAAGCAGTCAGCAGTATAGGAGAATAACATTCTGGATCAGACAAACAAGTGATTGATACCGTGATCAGCCTCCAATGCTCTCAGAATGCAATGAGGAAATGCACCTATTGTATTTTGAAAAAATAAATATGAGGTTGCCTAGCTCAGATTGTTATGCCTTAAAAAAAAATTTAATTTGAAATATTAGCACTAAAGCATGGGTCTCGGGTGCGATACAATTTTTTCAGCCCATATCTAATGTCCCACCATGATTTTGCTGGAATATTACTGAACTAAACTCACTGATTCACAGGTGCCAGAATCACACACAGCCATTGGGGTATGATAACAAGCAATCATTCAAGTCACTGAGTCTCAGCCTTTCAGTTCAGTCAGTACTTACAACAAGCATGGGTTCCCCATTGTTCAGGAGGCAGAAATGGGGGCACCACTACTGATGGGTACTTTTTAGGTTCTGATAGTCACTGGAGAAGATTTACATTAGTGTATGTACCCATGAAGGTCCGGGTTAGAATATTCATCTTCAGTAACCCATGCTTGTCGTAAGAGGCGACTTACGGGATCGGGTGGTCAGGCTCACTGACTTGGTTGACACATGTCATCGGTTCCCAATTGCGCAGATTGCTGCTCATGCTGTTGATCACTGAATTGTATGGTCCAGCCTCGATTATTTACAGACTGCCGCCACAAAGCTGGAATATTGCTGAGTGTGGCATAAAACTATACTCACTCACTCACTCATTAGTGTATGACTCTAGAACAGTGTCCACGAACAACATGATGCATAGCTCACTCATGTCAAGATGACTTCATTGATTGTGCATCACTTGGGGCTTTCTTTCCCCATTAAGCTGGACACTCTGGGATATAACTGGAATTCTGTTAAAAGCAGCAGTCATTGATCATGTTGGCGAGCCGCTCGGTTAAAAACCTTTCTTGTATTGAACCTTTGCATTCACTGAAAGAGAGGTGCAGTTTGTCATGCTAGTGGCTCACAAGCCTGTATATATTGGTTCAGTGGCATCTGTGCGTGTGTGTGTCTCGCATTATCAGAGTGATTGATTGAGTTGGTAGGGTTTTACAATGCTTTATAGCAGTTTTCTTGCAATTTTACATTGAGGGACTCAAGAAATTGGTTTCACACATTGTACACATGGGGACTTAAACTAGGTGTTTAACAGGATGAGCGGACACCTTAACCACACAGCTATCACCTCGCTATATCCTGAAAAGCAGGTGTAAGGGCACTTATTAGATGTAATAAGGTAGTTAGCTTGAAATGGATCACCTGGTTGAGATCGACTGACCATCAAGGTATGAGTATATGTGAGCAACATCTCTAGCTTGAGCTCAGAGTCTTAACAGGAATAGTACAGTAACATTGAGAGAGAGATACCTACCAGCTGGGGTGAAGGCTTAGTGTAGTTGGTCTGATCATGCATGGGCAGGGGAGGTAGGTACTGGAGGCATCATGCATCAGTAGGGTTAAATCAAGGATTTTGTATGGTATTTTTTGGAAAATGGATGGAAAATGTGTTGTATGCTTCAAATTATGTTAGTTTATGTTGATTAAGTAATGAATGCAAATACAAATGTTTAGGGGGATAATATGAATGTTAAGTTGATATGGTTTTCAAGGATTGTGTAATGGTATGCTGTCTGTTTTCTTCTGAAATATTTGGTTAAAATGCATTGTTCAGAAACTAATAACAGGTCCTAGTCACAATTTATTTTCATAATGTAGTATCCCTGGTCTTTTCAGTTTGCAGGTTTGTTAACATATGACGATCCCTTCCACATATTTGGATCAAGGGCTGATATTCCTAATAGTATATGAGTGCTTGAAAACAATATTCTAAGTAGTTCATAATGTTTGAATTTTAAGACATTGCAACCAGGAACGAAGATCCCTCTGTAAAAAGTTGAAATCACTGCTTCAGAGAAGAATTTGAAGCCTGTCTCTTTGTAATGTATTTTTTCAGACGGGGAAAGTGTATGAAATCTGATCATGCATTAAGCCATGCTTTGTTATGTCATACAAACCAGGAAGTGAAAATGTAAAATATTTCTGATAACCTGTGTGTTCTCTTTAATCATTGATTATTTGTGTTTGAAAGATCTTCCTCAGTTGGTAACAGACATTGGTGTGGCTGTTGACGCTCTGTAGTGTCAGTTTTACACAGGTATCTACGTTGGTTCCTCTGTTCACGTAGGTACATATGATAGGGGTGTTGTTCAAGGTGCTGGAGTGAGTGAGTATAGTTTTACACCACTTTCATCAATCTTCCATCAATATCATGGCGGGGGACACCAGAAATTGGCTTCACACATTGTACCCATTATGGAGAATTGAACCTTTGTTGCGATGAGGGAATCTGTTGTCATAGAATAACTATTGGCATGAATCCTGGATAGAGCCTGTTCAGAGTGTTACAGGGTGGTGGGGTAGCCTAGTGGTTAAAGCATTCGCTCGTCACGCCGAAGACCCGGGTTCGATTTCCCACATGGGCACAATGTGTGAAGCCCATTTCTGGTGTCCCTCACCGTGATATTGCTGGAATATTGCTAAAAGTTACGTAAAACCTAACTCACTCACTCACTCATAGTGTTACAGTCAGTCGTTTGATCCCTTGCCACACCATCTGAAAACATGTAAAGGATAGTAGTGGTTGCTCTGGTTGGTGTTTGGCATGAAAAGGTTAAAACAAGGACAGGGTTGATAAACTGTGTCTGAGTAAGGTAGCCATGTTAACCTGCTAAATGATATCACAGTGGGCTATCATGTGGAAACCTGCATTAGTCTGGTATAGTACAACCTGTCACAACCGCATGTGCATGCACGTTGCTGTGTAAGTGCCATAATCTGAACGAGATGTTAAGTCTCATTTCCTTTCACTTGTCAGCAGTATACCTGAGTAAACAAGCCTAACTGGGGCTTTCTCCGTAATGGCTGTGACGACTGTGATGACTGGGACGACTGGTACAGCCGACAAACTGTTCAAGGAACCTGTAGAACAATCACTGACTCTTTCCTTTGCAGTTCATTTAATAATTTGTTTGGCATTAATGGAGGTGTCAGTATAGAAACTGGTGGCCAATACTGTGTGTCAGTATGACAATTCACCTCAGCAGATGTAAAATTATGGAATGATTGTTGTTAATGTGAAAAAATTTGATTGGTTATCCAATCAAATGCTATGTAATCATTTGCAATATACATACATTTTACATTCCTTTTGTATCTTTTCAGACAGGAGATGCTGAAGAAGGTCCAGTCTTATAATGCGTATTACGAAGGGAAGGTGCGACACCAGATTACAACAGAGAAGGTAACCGGAGATTATCAGTGCTATCACTCCAAGGAACACATCTCTCATGCTGGCCATGTTTTGTCATAAACACATGAACGCATGATAAACACATGATTTGTCATTGCATGGTGACATCACTGGATTGTCTGGTCCAGACTCAATTTGTTTTCAAACAACATTGTACAGCTGTAGTACTGCTGAAGCAAATATATACTCATGATATAGTCACAGTTGTACAATCGCCTGCTTTTAGCAGAGATTTCTTATGAATGTGGAAAGGGTTTTGTCACTTCTATTGTCATAAAGTCTTTTGAAATGACTTTTTTAAGTGGCATCTAGAAGCTGGCATGATTAAGAGAACACTTTTTATGGATAGACAACTTCTTTATTGCAATGGATGCGATATTTCAGTGTAGATCCTAACACTGTTAGGAGTTCTTACCATTTCTGTAATGGTGTTAATTACCATTTCTTTGATAATGGTGTTAATTACCATTTCTTTGATAATGGTGTTAAGATCTACACAGAAACGTCGCATCTATTGCAATAAAGAAGTTGTCTATCCATAAAAAGTGTTCCTCATCTTTTGAAATGAATCAAGAAACAGAATCTTTTTACATTGAAGTGTATATTCAGGAAAAAAGATCATGATTATTTGTTGGTTCAAAATGAGTTTAGCCAAAAGTATCAAATGTACAGATTGTATTGGTATGGTGACATTTGTTTTGATTATGTGCCAATTGTAGGGGTGGGTATTGCAGGGAATTTTCATATTGCGATATATTGCGATACGAAAGCATGTATTGCGATATGTATTGCAATATATTGCAAAAAGTTTTTTTTAACAAAAAACTACTTATAGTCGAGTTAATGCTTGATTTTTAAGCAAAAACACAACAAAATCACAATGCTTGATTAGGCTTTAATGAAAACTTTTAATCATGACAAAATAAAAATGTAAATAATGTTTGGCACAAATGAAACAAGGAAAGGAACAATTCAAATACGGAAATATCTGAAGATTTCCGAGTGTTACGAAGTTTTCCGATTGCATGTCAAAATACTGGTTTTCGATCAGCGTATCGCAATATGTATCGTTTTCATGTCTGAACTGGTAAATACCGGTAAACCGGTTATATTGCGCAGCCCTAGCAAATTGTATTGGTTAATTGTATTTGTACAGGTTACATGCCAGTTGTATTAGTTAACTGTGACTGTATTGGTTAGGTTTCAAGTATTGGTTTGAGTACTGTATTGAGTAAAACATGACATGACATCTTTACCATCTAACTTTGCAATTGAATGACATGTTTTTCATCCAACTTTTTTGACAGAATGAAAATGGTGACTTTGTCATAGAAGGTCCTCTGAGAATATACTGGGGCGTGACACGACCGATCCAGTTAGAACATTGTGATAACATAAAACCATCGCCATTGTCCACATGGCGACATAGCCTCTACCCCAGTCGTGTAAACAGACAGAGACCTCTAACAGTCATAGAGGGAGGTGCTTCAGCGTCACGGTCCAACGGCGTCAAGTTTGCTGAAGATATTGCTGAGGTGGGGATTGACAATATTTTTTAGATATAGTCAGAAATGAAATATGTGAAATATCCTCGAACATATGTGAATCTTGTGTTTGCATGAAACAAGAAAATTAAACATTGAGGAAAATAATATATGGAAGATCATATGACCGTTCCCTGTACATCAACAGAGCTCAGCAGTTGTCAAGTTTGCCATCTGGCTTTTCATGTACATCTATATGTTATGCCATTGGTATATTCATGTTTACACAAAGAATTTGTTTACTTTATTGACATCACTTGTTAAAAGCATTTGTTGCAAGGTGCACAAATGTAATCAAGCGGATTAATCATTGAATCGTCATACAATAGGTCTGGGCATGATTCCCAGATGCATAATATGTAGGAAACCCATTCTTGGTGCTCCCGGTATAGTGCTAACAACATTGTAAAACATATATTTATTCATTCATGATGGTTTGTGCAGCTAAGCCAATAGACAAACATACTTATATACAACTTATACATAGCTTTTTAAATAACTGCCTCTGTGGTGTAGTGTCCACCCCGAGACCGGAAGGTTGCGGGTTCGATCCCTGGCTGCGTCATACCATTACATTATGGTACTTGTTGGTCCCTGTCTGGCGCTCGGCATGAATGGGTACAACAAGGTCTGGTCGACTTGGAGTCAGTATACTGTGTCTGAGTGGGATATTCATGCTTAACTGCGACATGGTATCTCAGTGAGCTAGCACTATAAAACCAGTTAAAGTCTGGGCTACTACAAGCAGCCACACATACACATGCATACACGTCGTCAAATGAGCGAAATATTCTAAGTACGACGTTAAACTCAATTTCACCTCACCGCTTTGATAAATCAAATGTTAAGCAATCAGTCAAATATACATACTGAAAGATGTGGTGAGTGAATTTATACTGTAACAGCTATTTGTTTGTTCCTTGGTTATATTTATCATGAGCTGTCCCCTTTCTCCTTTACCAGCTCACAACCCCACCAGCATCACCAAAGAAGTCCTATGGGTTCGATGACAGCATTGTGGCATCCCAAACAGATGGAGTTGTTCGGCGGAAAAACATTCGCAAGTTTAACACGGTAGCATATCGAGGCGATGCACCAAACAAGTGGAAGAGGGCATCGATAAATGGTCACATATATAACTACGACGTGAGTAATGCTGACAGTTGAGTGGCAAGTCAGACTTCAGTACTTCTATGGGGATTCCAGTTAATATAGGCACTGAGTAGCCTCTGCTGATTAGAGGACTACTCGGGAGTCAGTAACATGGATCTGGAGATTAGACTTTGTGTCTACTTTAATTGCAGGTCATTGTACCCATTGGCTTTGTTTTGAACAATGTCAAACACTGACTTGTATTGTCAAGACTTGATTATTTACAGACTGACATATTGCTGAATCAGCACTAAACAACAAACAAACCATCTTCAGTACAATGTGGGTGTTTGCTGAACTGCTGAAAGTGGGTCGTCTCTATGGGTAATGGTGGTACTTGTCTGGATGATCATCTAGGAAGACCTAGGCTCGTACTATGCTCATACTATTGGGTTGGCCTGGTCAAGGGGTGACATAACCAGAATCTGAAGAAATTAATTTGGCTGATAAGGCAGATTGGTCCCACTTGACAATGTGATCAGAGACATGATTTAGTTTTCATGTGCTTGATTGTCAGTAAATGGTGATAAGTAAGTTGTAGTTTATTTGTGGTATGAAACAAAGACAGCCTCGTCTTGACCTGAGGCAATGCATAATATAATTATTATGTTGTTTTGTTCAGAGGATATTAACAAATTGTTTTAAAATAAATAAATACTGACACAAATACCGTTGAAAGACTGTCACGTTTTATGACTTTAGGTATTATTGTGTTGAACAATTATCCAACTCATCAGAACATTGAAACAGTAAATGCAGTTTGTATAATATTAACATTATATTCTTTGTAACAGCTGTGCACATGTATGTTAAAATGCTGACATGTTTTGTTTCAGACAAGTGTGTTCACCCCAGTTCTGGGCAGCAGTACAAGTGTAATTGTCTCCAGTACCATGAATACTTCACAAGTTATCAAAAACTCTCATGGAGAAATTCAAAGTAAGACTACATCAGTACATAACCAGTACTTCGATCCCCGTCCCTAGTGGTTAAAGCGTTGGCTCGTCACGCCAAAGACCCGGTTTCGAATCCCCACATGGGCACAATGTGTGAAGCCCATTTCTGGTGTCCCCCGCCGTAATATTGCTGGAATATTGCTAAAAGCGGCGTAAAACCAAACTCAGTCAGTCAGTCGATCCCCGGCCGCGTCATACCAAAAGACGTTAAAATATGGTACTTGTTGATCCCTGTCTGGCGCTCAGCATTAATGGGTACAACAAGGACTAGTCGGCTCAGAGTCAGTATAATGTATCTGTGTGGGGTATTCATGCTTAACTGCAGCATGGTATCTCAGTGGGCTAGCACTATAGAACCAGCTTAAGTCTGGCCAGGGCTAGTACAAGCAGCAATACATGCATGTCGTCATATGAGCGAAATGATCTTACATGCCGAAGTAAAACCCCATTTCACCTCAACTGTTTATCTGGTCCATACGCTGGATGCCATGAACTGTTCATGTGGCCCATACGCTGGATGCCATGAACTGTTCATGTGGCCCATATGCTGGATGCCATGAACTGTTTATCTGGTCCATATGCTGGATGCCATGAACTGTTCATCTGGTCCATAAGCTGGATGCCATGAACTGTTTATCTGGCCCATACGCTGGATGCCATGAACTGTTTATCTGGCCCATACGCTGGATGCCATGAACTGTTTATCTGGTCCATATGCTGGATGCCATGAACTGTTCATCTGGACCATATGCTGGATGCCATGAACTGTTTATCTGGCCCATACGCTGGATGCCGTGAACTGTTTATCTGGTCCATATGCTGGATGCCATGAACTGTTTATCTGGCCCATATGCTGGATGCCATGAACTGTTTATCTGGTCCATACGCTGGATGCCATGAACTGTTTATCTGGTCCATATGCTGGATGCCATGAACTGTTTAGCTGACCCATATGCTGGATGCCATGAACTGTTCATCTGGCCCATATGCTGGATGCCATGAACTGTTTATCTGGCCCATATGCTGGATGCCATGAACTGTTTATCTGGCCCATACGCTGGATGCCATGAACGTTTTATCTGGCCCATACGCTGGATGCCATGAACTGTTTATCTGGCCCATAGGCTGGATGCCATGAACTGTTTATCTGGCCCATATGCTGGATGCCATGAACTGTTTATCTGGCCCATACGCTGGATGCCATGAACTGTTTATCTGGCCCATACGCTGGATGCCATGAACTGTTTATCTGGCCCATATGCTGGATGCCATGAACTGTTTATCTGGCCCATACGCTGGATGCCTTGAACTGTTTATCTGGCCCATACGCTGGATGCCATGAACTGTTTATCTGGCCCATACACTGGATGCCATGAACTGTTTATCTGGTCCATACGCTGGATGCCATGAACTGTTTATCTGGCCCATATGCTGGATGCCATGAACTGTTTATCTGGTCCATACGCTGGATGCCATGAACTGTTTATCTGGCCCATATGCTGGATGCCATGAACTGTTTATCTGGTCCATACACTGGATGCCATGAACTGTTTATCTGGCCCATATGCTGGATGCCTTGAACTGTTTATCTGGCCCATACGCTGGATGCCATGAACTGTTTATCTGGTCCATACGCTGGATGCCATGAACTGTTTATCTGGCCCATACGCTGGATGCCATGAACTGTTCATCTGGCCCATACGCTGGATGCCATGAACTGTTCATCTGGTCCATACGCTGGATGCCATGAACTGTTTATCTGGCCCATACGCTGGATGCCATGAACTGTTTATCTGGTCCATATGCTGGATGCCATGAACTGTTTATCTGGTCCATACGCTGGATGCAGTGAACTGTTCATCTGGCCCATACAATGGGTGCCAATATTTCTTCTTTTCGTGCAAAGAATGTAAAATCCACACAATATTAAGGCCTAAGCTTCGGCACCCATGATCATGCATTCTATGTTAAAATAACATTTAAGTTGCTTGCACCAGCAGTGTAGACTAATATGACTCCAGGGCTGGGTGCCAAGATAAACTTACTGGTGGGCCAGATTTCTAGAAGTGGGGGTGGCACCCTGATGGATTGTGTTCAGTAGCCATATATTACAGAAGAGGGACATGTCCCTATAACATGTAAACTACACTTTATAGGTTAACTGGAAGACTCATTTCAAAGTGATGTTTAATCCGAACTTTGGAGTATACCTTAGAAGGATTTCTTGTTGATTTTGTCGGTCAAGAATGGCCTAGTCATTGTGCTGCAAGTCGTCTTCCTTAGGTTCACTGATAGTCTGATATCATGTACTTGCTACTTCCAGGTTGTGAATCATCCAGATGAGTACCATCTGTATCTGATCACAGACGATGAAGGTTGGTAATATCATTTTACACACTCACTCCTAATGGTTAAAGCGTTGGCTTGTCACGCCGAAGGCCCGGGTTGGAATCCCCACATGGGTACAATGTGTGAAGCCCATTTCTGGTGTACCCCGCCGTGATGTTGCTGGAATATTGCTAAAAGCGGTGTAACACCAAACTCAGTCAGTCAGTCAGTCTAATCACTGACATGCATTAATTAACAAGGATTACTAAAACCTAAGTTAGTTGACCTGGGAAAGGGAGAAATATGTCCAACATTGATATTGTCTACGATACTTCATTTTTGTATGATAGTTATCATGTTTATGTAGTATTAAATATGGTTTAATACTATTGTAATATTGCATTAGTTAAAAGCTATTGCATTGATGTTGCATAGCGCTGTTGCAATAGTGTAGTGTACTATTCACAATATAATAGTGAAGATAGTCCCAATAGTCACCCCAGTCCAGTAATGAAACTGTTTGGTTTCTTTTCAGAGAGGCTTCTTTCAGAAAAGCAAATTCCACTGGCTTTGAGGTTAGATTTTGGACCTGATGAAGCAAAGGCCAGGTTCTTTATCAAAGAGAAAATAGTAGAACAGCCCAAGACTCCTGTAATATCAATGCCCATTGAAGAAGCTGAGGAAACACGAGAGGAACATCTACCTGATGAGGTGAGTCTTCTGCCCAGAACTGCTAGTATCTGCAGAATGTGGTAGCTAGCCAAGGTCAAGAATGTGGGTGCAGTGCAGGAGAAGGAAAGGAACTCACTGAGGGTTATTTAGTTCATGTGTTTTGTAGGGGCGATGGAATACCCTAATGGTTAAAGGAGAATACAAACGAAAACAAAACTTTTGATATTTTGTAAAGGATGTTCTAAAAGTCACTTTCCGTGATTAAAACTTGGCAAAAAGTTTGTAAAATAGCAATAAAAACACAAAAAACGTACTCGTATTTCCGCCTATTACGGAAACACCTGACAGTTAATGAGCAGAGGGGTATCACGTGACATGACGTCCTCTTTGCTTTTACCTCACAACTTAACAGTGTCCATAGATTCTGAAGCAGTAAAAGATGTTCAAGATGTCATTTCTGAAATGGATGTTAGACCGTATCAATACGATCCAATTTTACATCTTGCAAGGCAATCTTCCAGTGAATATGAAGAAGAAGAATCAAGCAAAACGGAGGCACCGCTTGAGGTCAAAATACATTTAAAAATAGACCATATCACTTAACAAGAATACCATTTGTCAGCAAAATGTGTTACAGTTCCAACCAGCAAACCCACCCTTATAAATATATGACCAGTCCCTAAGAATTATGTTCTTAAATATGTGATTGCAGTTCCTTTTGTGTCCAATGGGTGACTGTAGGGTGTCGGGGATTTAAAAACAAATTTTTAATTATGCTTCAGACAGGGGAAAATAGAAATTATCTCATACAAAAATTACTCTGGAATTATTTTGTTGAAAAAAATTAGGATCCTAGTTCTCATTAATAACGTATCAAGTCCCCATACAAGATCCCAGCCTGGTCGAGCAGAGATAATATTCGCGATGCAGATAAGTTATTCCCCGAAAAGATGTGAATTATGAAATACTAGTCAGGACAATGTACAGTCAAATCCCGATGAGTTGAATCTCTGGGGACCAAGTAATAAATTCAACTTATCGATGTATTCGAGACATAGGTATGTCTATGAGGGTAGAAAAAAAGATGATCCAGTTCAAATTCCTTTGCCTAAGCATTTGTTTATCTAATGATTTCCCTATCACTAATAGGGGCACCTTATCAGTTCCAGTCTGATTAGCACAGACAGTGATTTCCGTAAAATCACTAATCTGCCTTTTGAACTCACCCGTCAAAGGCGGAAAGGTGTGAGCCGCGCTGGTGTGTTAATTGGATCAGTTTGCTACACCAATCAACTTCTCATTGACTGACTTCGGCTTATGTATACAAGATTGCTGTTGTTTGAATCTCATGGGACCAAATTTTCTTCTCAAGTCATCGTGTGTATTTATGAGACGAATTCGTGTAACTGGTATTCAAATGATGACAACTATAACAGGGAATGGTCGGGACCGACAGGTACTTCGAGTTATGCATAATATTCGAGACACCGGCATTCGACTCATCGGGATTTGACTGTATGTTTCCCAAGTGTTTGGTTATGGAAATAGTTATGGTACTCGGTCATAGCCTTAGAATGACATCTTGTCAGCCAATGAGAATACAAAACAATTTTCACAGCACACGCTAATGACGAATAGCCAGTCTGATGCCGACATAATTGGACAAAATCGAAAACAATGAAAGCAACAAGTACTTCATGCTTTGCTGTTGTATTCAGCAATGTTTCAGGTAGACTGCAGCATTTAGGGCTCCAAACTGAAAAGAACATTATAGCAAAACATTTTCAAGCTCATGTGAAATCTCTTACTGATTTTGATAATATCTCATGGGTACCAGTCGAACTGCCGCAGCTACAAAATGCCCCAGCAAATTTGATCACTCTTTTTAATTTGGTCAAATTTATTTAAAATTATTACATATATGCCCTATATGAATAGTTTTTGTCAACTTTGATATCATGGCCTTCATATAAAAGTTATTAGGAAGTAATATTTCTGATGAATGTTCCATTAGTAAACTCATAACTATGAACATAACATCAAAGTTGACAAAACTATGCATTTATGGCTTATATTTAATCATGTTAAATATTTAATTGGGGCATTTTGACTTCCCCCTGGGGCAATTTGACCAAAACTTTGGGGCACTTTGACTAAATTTGCTGGGGCAATTTGTAGCGTGGGCAATTTCGACTGGCAATTGGACTTTAATCTAATTTATGTTAAAAATACCACTGACAGTAAGTTGTAACACGGAATGATGGAGTATAAATGAATCTCGTGGGTACTTCCTTCTTCAGCCTAGCTTTGGGATTTTCATACCCTATGTGTGCATGTCTCTTTCACATGCGTCCGACTTGGAATGATCGGAGCATTTCTCCTGCCTAAATCTGTCTCTTAACTTGGAAAACGGAAGAAATGGTGGCTCTTTCCATTGTTTGATGATTCTGTGCATCCCCAGGCAACGGAATACATCATCGTACCATGTACAAAATGACAGAAACAACTCGATTTGTATTACTGTAGCACTTGTTCTTTGGCAATATGGCTGACGCTTGTCACATATGACGTTAGGAGCGGAAAGGTCACGTGAGTTCCAGCGGAATATGCATAATGGCCGAAGTTCAGATAACAGAAACTGTTTTCGCGATAAAAAACATAATAAACCACATTTTTTAAATAGAAATTGGGGTACATGTTTCTGATGACTTTATCTTTCACCCAGCAAATTATTGCAATTGTCTAGTATTTAAAGCTTTAAAGCCGCTTGTCATGCCGAAGACCCGGGTTTGATTCCCTTCTTGGGTACAGTGTGTGAAGCCTATTTCTGGTGTCCCCTGCCATGATATTGCTGTCAAAACCACACTCACTCACTCAAGTATTTTATGAATTGTTTGAAAGCTGAAACAGTTTGATGTTTGGCAATAGTTTTGTTGTGATGTTATGTAACTGCTGAATTTGCATGTATCAAGTGGACCATGTGTGAGAGATGGTTGAATGTATGCTTTTGACTCGAGACCTACTGAAAGAGAAGGTTGAATGTATGCTTTTGACTCGAGACCTACTGAAAGAGAAGGTTGAATGTATGCTTTTGACCCAAGACCTACTGAAAGAGAAGGTTGAATGTATGCTTTTGACTCGAGACCTACTGAAAGAGAAGGTTGAATGTATGCTTTTGACTCGAGACCTACTGAAAGAGAAGGTTGAATGTATGCTTTTGACTCGAGACCTACTGAAAGAGAAGGTTGAATGTATGCTTTTGACTCGAGACCTACTGAAAGAGAAGGTATAATGTATGCTTTTGACTCGAGACCTACTGAAAGAGAAGGTTGAATGTATGCTTTTGACTCAAGACCTACTGAAAGAAAAGGTTGAATATATGCTTTTGACCCAAGACCTACTGAAAGAGAAGGTTGAATGTATGCTTTTGACTCAAGACCTACTGAAAGAGAAGGTTGAATGTATGCAGTTGACTTTAGACCTACTGAAAGGGAAGGTTGAATGTATGCAGTTGACTTGAGACCTACTGAAAGAGAAGACTGAATGTATGCAGTTGACTCAAGACCTACTGAAAGGGAAGGTTGAATGTATGCAGTTGACTTGAGACCTACTGAAAGAAAAGGTTGAATGTATGCTTTTGACTCGAGACCTACTGAAAGAGAAGGTTGAATGTATGCTTTTGACTCGAGACCTACTGAAAGAGAAGGTTGAATGTATGCTTTTGACCCAAGACCTACTGAAAGAGAAGGTTGAATGTATGCTTTTGACTCGAGACCTACTGAAAGAGAAGGTTGAATGTATGCTTTTGACTCGAGACCTACTGAAAGAGAAGGTTGAATGTATGCTTTTGACAAGACCTAAGACCTACTGAAACTCGAACCTAGAAGGTTGAATGTATGCTTTTGACTCGAGACCTACTGAAAGAGAAGGTTGAATGTATGCTTTTGACTCGAGACCTACTGAAAGAGAAGGTTGAATGTATGCTTTTGACTCAAGACCTACTGAAAGAGAAGGCTGAATGTATGCAGTTGACTTTAGACCTACTGAAAGGGAAGGTTGAATGTATGCAGTTGACTTGAGACCTACTGAAAGGGAAGGTTGAATGTATGCAGTTGACTCGAGACCTACTGAAAGAGAAGGTTGAATGTATGCTTTTGACTCAGAGACCTACTGAAAGAGAAGGTTGAATGTATGCTTTTGACTACTGAAAGAGACCTACTGAAAGAGAAGGTTGAATGTATGCTTTTGACTCAAGACCTACTGAAAGAGAAGGTTGAATGTATGCTTTTGACTCGAGACCTACTGAAAGAGAAGGTTGAATGTATGCTTTTGACTCGAGACCTACTGAAAGAGAAGGTTGAATGTATGCTTTTGACTTGAGACCTACTGAAAGAGAAGGTTGAATGTATGCTTTTGACTCAAGACCTACTGAAAGAGAAGGCTGAATGTATGCAGTTGACTTTAGACCTACTGAAAGGGAAGGTTGAATGTATGCAGTTGACTTGAGACCTACTGAAAGAGAAGGTTGAATGTATGCTTTTGACTCGAGACCTACTGAAAGGGAAGGTTGAATGTATGCAGTTGACTCGAGACCTACTGAAAGAGAAGGTTGAATGTATGCTTTTGACCCAAGACCTACTGAAAGAGAAGGTTGAATGTATGCAGGTGACTCGAGACCTACTGAAAGAGAAGGTTGAATGTATGCTTTTGACTCGAGACCTACTGAAAGAGAAGGTTGAATGTATGCAGTTGACACGAGACCTACTGAAAGAGAAGGTTGAATGTATGCAGTTGACTCGAGACCTACTGAAAGAGAAGGTTGAATGTATGCAGGTGACTCGAGACCTACTGAAAGAGAAGGTTGAATGTATGCTTTTGACTCGAGACCTACTGAAAGAAGGTTGAATGTATGCTTTTGACTCGAGACCTACTGAAAGAGAAGGTTGAATGTATGCTTTTGACTCAAGACCTACTGAAGGAGAAGGCTGAATGTATGC